CAGAGAGCGATTTTGAAATGTTTCCCTTTAACTAGCTTTACTATTAAAAAAGTACTGGAACAGACCAATTGTTAATTTTGTCGTTATAATCTTTTATCGATTTGAGAATTGCTTAAATTTTATAGTGACAACCTGAGTGGCTACAGTTCGGTATGTACTCTGGTGACCAAAACTAAAGCAACTAAGATTGGAAACTGAATAAATGTACTGTAACTTTTTTTTAAAAATAAGCATATAGTGAAAGTTTTTCCACAAATAAATAGGTAATTTATTCACTTTTAAAAATATATAAATAATATAAACGCAACATTTATTTTGTAATAACAAATTATCTATGGAAAACTAAATTGACCCAATTTTAGCTTGGTCAAAACTAAAGAAACTTTTTTATGTTTTAAATAAGTAAATTTAGCTAGTAATCGACAGAGTAACCATTATTTTTGATTACGGCAGAACACATACGAGGATTTAAATCTATAAGATGCTTAATTTAATTCTTGGATATACTATCCTCGCATCCTGAACCTTTGGGAAGAGAAAATTTTTGTTTGTTTCTGAATCGGTTTTGATTTTGCTATCTATGATACACCAATGATAGGGTGAAAATATGATAATTGTGTTCGCCATAATAAAACACAGATTTTTGACTCCCGCAACCAATCTTTGGTATGTTTCGGTGTATGTTTGAGGTTATTGTCAAGCTGAAACGCCCAGACAAACGGTATATTTTCTTCGGCGGAGGGAATCAAAGCGTTTTCAACACATTTTTGTAAACAATCCGATCCATTACTTCATAAATCTCGTAAATAGATCCAATTCCATAAAAGGAAAATATCCTAATACCATTATTGACCCATCACCATGCTTCCCAATACCCTTGCAATCCGAAGCCTTAAGCCTTTCATTTTTTGGACCTCACGGTAATTTTTTTCGTGTCTGTGCTTTTAATATTAAACTTTAAGTCATCCGAGGGCATAATATTTTTCCACTCAGTTGGATGTGGTCGAATATGAGCTTTTGCGAAAGCCAAACTGGCTTTCCATTTTTTCATAAATAAAAGGGCTTTCATAATGGTATCTGGGCTTTCTTAATGGTACCTGCTACCATAGCTTGTCCAGGCTCTATTCTTGAAGTTATATTCAACGATAACCCTCTGACCAATTCGGTTGAACTTTTAAATGGTAATTTTTAGTACATCTATTTTATCGGTGTTCTGTATTTGTTTCTAGCCACGTTTTTATTTTATTTTTTGGCAGTAAGACGCAATTGAAACATGTTATTGTAATATAATCTTTTTAAAATGATCTATTAGAATCGAAATAGGTGTAGAAACCAAAACATAGTAATTATAACGGTAAATAAAACTACAATTTCAGAGCGTTTCCGGTAAATAAAACTTACTCGGCCAATTTTGTGTAAAAGCAATAGGGCTGCTACAACAACAACAACAATTTCAGAGCTCATTTGTTTGCACTGAAGAGTTGCTTTCCTTTTCCTTTTTTCCAATTTCCTTTTCCATACATTATAGTACGTTTACATTTAACCGGATTTCTTTAACCCAGTGGGTTTCAATTGTCAATTCCTTTGCATATATGTCAAATAAATCCTCATAAAGTAGGTTAACCCGGAAAAAAGTTTTAATGCATGTGCCGTTTTCTCATTTATTTCAGAAAGTATTTTTTAAATACATTACCCGATTTAGAAATCAAAAAACCAACACGATATGTTTTTTTAAGTTATTCTGATTTTATATCTTCGTTGCTTTATTCGGCTTTTATTATATTCGTTGCTTTAGTTTTGGCCTCCAGTTTATATCGTTTTCTTTTGGTAGCACGGTATACCCCCCAAGTATTTCTCCCGATCGATTTCAGATATTTTGTATGACCACCTCATGGTAAAATAAGTTCGTACCGACCTAATTTAATAACTTTTTAATTTTTTGTGATTTCTCCTACTGGTGGTTTTAAAATCTGACTGTAACATTTCGTGATAAACACATTTAAGCGTTTAATGCATAGTAATATTTTCATTTTCTTCTACTATTGAAATTCTGCAATTCTTAATAATAAAATAAATCGATACAAAAGTACGAATTCGATTTTTACCTAGAAAATTAGGTTGTTGTTCAATCAGAACACAGAAAATCGAGGTCTCAATGTACATTGAATAAAACAACAAGTGTTAGATTGACGTCATTCGGTTTGTTTACAAAAACATTTCCTCATCAAACTAAGAGTACCGAATAGGCTCTTCGGTAAATATCTTCAGTGGAGTAGCCATGAGATGAAAAAAATATATAAACACAAATTTATGGGTATGTTTATAATGCTGAAGGCAATACAATCAATTAATAAAATTAATCTATTTTACCAAGAAATATTTTAAATGGAATGTTTTCATTCTAAAATATCAGTTTAATATCAAACCCGCACTCAATATACTCTTAGTATGACCCCAATTCTCTTGTTAGTCCTATATTAGAATATGGTTCTGTTGTATGGGATCCTCAATATGCAATATATTCCGATAAAATCGAAACAATGCAGAAACAATTCTTACTTTTTGCACTGAGAGGTTTACATTGGAATAGTGACTATGTGTTCCATTCTTACACTAGAAGGTTAAAATTATTTCAGTTACCTTTATTAGAAAGTAGACGTATTATGTTGAACATTATGATGGTACTAAAAATATTAAAATCCCTCTGATTTCCTAATTTCATCTATTAGAATAGATATCACCTATTATATGTAGATTTTCATTGCACACATTATTTTATGGGAGATCCACTCAGTTAAATATGTATTGATTTTAATTCTGTGTACTCTAATGCAGATTTTTGCATGAATGTGAAACTTATAGCCTATAGCCTAGAAAATGAGGATAATGTACAAATTAATTTGTACATTATCCTCATTTTTATGTGTTGTTAATGCACAAAATCAAACTGAATTTCTACTGAATTAAGCAATTTCAATATGGCAATGCTGTAGAAAATAAATTGATTGTTGTCAAATTTGTTTACGTTTACGAAAATAAAAATTAGAAATAAAGGCAAAAATCAACATTTCTTCAAATTTGGAGCTGTTTTATCTTCATTATAGCTGTTACTTTTCCTTCCTGTCATGTATCAATTTCAAAAAGATGTAATCCTAAAAAATATTGTAAACAAATGTCAATATTTTCTTCCTACACACAGACAAACAATAGTTTTGAAAGAAAAAACTGGTTCATAAATGCAGAAACTCTCGTCTGTCAGGGGTAAATTTTAATTCAAATTAAGAACTTTTTAATGCAAATTAAGGCTGTCGTCTGTCTATGGTATAAGAAATGAAGGCAAATTTCAACCATTTCTTAAATTGGGACCTCTTTAGCTATGATCATATTTTGTATTCCTCCATTATGTCATGTATCTATTTTCTAAAGATGTAATCCCGAAAAATATCGAAACAGATGTAAAAAAATTCCATCCTACACACAGACAAACAATTGTTTTGAAGCAAAAAACTGTTTCGTAAATGCAGAAACTCTCGTCTGTCGGGGGTAAATATTAATTCAAATTAAGAAATTTTTAATGCAAATTAAGGCTGTCGTCTGTCTATGGTATTATAAAATCTAATATAATTGTATTTTTAAAAGAGTAGTGCAACTTAATAATATGCTGGCTGTTGGAGTAGATACTGTAGGTGGTTTTCTATTCCCTTCTCATATTCCATCATGATGCGGATTGTGGTCTGTACGCGATCCCTACTAAAGGGGACGTCGTCCCTCGGTCGGCAGGGATGGAAAAGTGAGGCGTGGGAACGTTCGAAAACAAATCTTAGCATGATTAATATTGAATAACCATAAATATATTTTGTGTGTTAATCGTTTAAATAAATCCGGCACAAACTGTGGTTTTGTTAAATCAGTAACCAGTTTATCAAAAATGTATATACATTTTTTGGAAAATATTTCTGTAATCTATATCTATCTATAAAAATTAATTGCTGTGCGTTAGTCTTGCTAAAACTAAGCCTTGAAATGTTCGAGGAGATCTAGGGAAAGTTTAAATTGTAAGAAAAACCCATAGTACCATTATAATCAGGTGGTACCATTATATAGTGGTTATATGCCTGATGTTACCTATTCGTATTGAACATGTGACTACAGAATCACCTCAATATGCCATTTACCGAAATATTAATTGAGGAAATCGAATAACAAGTAAAAACATCGTTTCGATGGAACTTTTTATACCTTCCGATACGTAGATTCCTTAAATCGGTCGGGACATTTTTATGGCGACTATGTTACAAAAATAATGTTCAAATTTACAGATACTCAGGATTAAAACGTTAAGCTATAGTGCTTAATTTCTGCAAAGAAGTTTTATTCACAGAAATCCGTTACGCGACATTATAAAAATGTATTTAATCCTCTAATATCCCGAAATAACATACTACAAGTACTACAATGAAAATGGAGGGGTATTAATTTTTGGTAGGAAGATTTGACACCACATGAGAAAATACCAAACAATAGGCGGTACAATTATATATATGACGCTACTCGGAAATATTCCATATTTATGCATTTCAAAACTGAATAAAATATCTATAAACTCAAAATGTCTTTCACAATATCGTAATATTTGTGTAGTATTTTCATAAAAGTAATGCAATTAAAAAAAATTATGTTCCACACACTGTTACAAAAGTACTTCTGTTCACCGCAATTACAAATGAAAGGAAAACCGTTGTAGATCTTGAATATTTGAATAATTTTGGATAAATGTGACATTTTAGGTATTCAATATATCTTTAAGGCTTGTGAAGATGTGAGGCAACAATTTGAAATCCAAATTTAAAGGATAAAATCAATTGAATCCCTTGAATGGCACCGATCATTGTCTATAATTTGAAATATCAAATTAATCATATTTTATTAACTAACCTTTTATTTATATTTCTTGTTTTATTTTTTGTTCCAAACCAACATTGTATTTTATTTTCTTACAGATCGAGGACTTGTATGAGGAAATACTTTTCGAAATTACTAATAATATTGGATGTGAAGCAAATGATGTGTGCAAGGAGTCTCTTATTGAATTTGCTCAAGAGGCTTTCAAAATACCCAACCAGAAACATGAAGAAATACTCGAAGTAGCGCAAAGAAAAGAACTCCCTAATATTCGTTTGAACGTGGAAATAATCAAGGCTGAAAATCTATTACCAAAGGATTCCAATGGATATTCCGACCCGTTCGTTACCATTTATTTAGAGTCAAAAAGTTCTCATCGTTATAATTCATCCGTAAAGACTGAAACATTAAACCCAATATGGGAGGAGCACTTCTCCTTGTAAGTATTTGGTACATGTAAATTTTAGAATGCAAACTGTGGCAATACTTACTTTACACTGAACAAAAGAGATCAATTAGCCTACTAACGGTTTTTGTTTTAATACTATTTTCAGACCAATTACCGATAATCCTAGAAACGAAGTTCTTATAATTGAAATTTGGTAAGAAACAAACATGTCCAACTATTTTATTTCGCAAAGATGTAAACGAATAAAAGAAAACTGAATATTTGAAATTATTAATGGACTATAATCGGAACTAAATTGTTGCTCTATTCACTATAATTACTATAATTCATATGTCTTACATTTTATTAAAGGGATTTTGATGCGGCTGAAACCGTTAAGGAGAAAGTGAATAAGCTAATGGATGTTAAAGGTATAAAGGGATTACGTAAATTAATGAAAGAAATCGCTGTGACTGCATCTACTGGAAAGCACGACAACGAATTGATTGGAAGGACTGCCATTACACTGAAGGTATATATAACTACTTTATATTTTCAAAGACGAGATGTTAATAAATATTACATTTTTGCAGTCTATTCCCGCATCCGGCACAACCGTTTGGTATAATTTGGAAAAGGGTAATAAAACCAAAAGTAGAGGTTCAATACTTGTTAGCTTAGCATTAAGCGCTGAGAAGAATAAACACGTTGCGGTGCAGGAACACAGACATTTACTTAAATTATTACTCATGCATGAATTGGAGTCATCGCAAGTCGCTAACTACTGGTGGTGCGGAAAGTTCAGTACTAATGCTGAGACAATTAGATTGCAACACGCTGTTCAGTCCGGTTTATCCAATTTCGAATGTGCCTTAAGTCAGTGGTCGGTTTATGCAACTATTCACGAAGAGCACCCTCTAAGCTTTTCGCTATTTAACTCAATATTAGACACAGTAGTGCCCGTACTGAAGTGTCAACTAAATGAGTCTGAAGACGTAAAAACATTCTGGGATGGGGTAAAACGAATTCTTCCATCTTGCTTCGCTGTTCTAAGGAAAATACGTGCCAAAAATGTGAGCGACAAACAAATACTCAAAACATTGTGTGAAGTACTAGACATTATATCAAAAATAAAAATGCTGGATTTACCCAAAACTGTTGAATTATTTTCGCCCAATGTATACGGATGGGTATCCCGACCAAACGATGACTGCACCATCGACAGTGTTATTATCGATGCAATACATTCGGGCACTAAGGAATGGCTTGAGCATATAACAGAAGCCAATCGGAAAAGTTCAGACCTCATGTCTGACGATGAAAACCTGCAATATTTAATAAAAGTAATACAAATGATTCGGTCCGACCTTCAAAGAGCAATGGAGTATTTCGACAAGCATTTTTATCAGTAAGTAAATGAATAGTAATATTGTAGTACGACTTGCCTTGTGCCAAATATTTTTGTGTGTATATGTTATATTCTCCTTTCCAGAAAAATAAAAGTTAACTTTTCTACGATACTATATAAATACTACGATGAAAAAATAGCCGAAATTGCCTATACGATTGTTCGAGATGTTTGCAGTCACATCAAGCGCATAGATGTTCCCGATGACAATTTCGAAGAACTTCCAGACATTGATAATGTTAACATGGGAACAACTTTATTTGAGTTGTATTTGGTATTAAAGCGTTATCTAGCAATGGGTAAGAATACGAAATATACATAAATATAAGGGTATGATTAAAATATTGACAAAAAAAATATTTTATGTGCTACTTAGAAATAATTATATGAGTCCACTTGTAATAAGTATTCTTTGTTTCCAAAAATCTTTTTATCCATCAAACATTATTGATAAAAATAAGTTATATATATTTTATTGATTTATATAAATAACTGGACAACAATAATATACTGATAATCGTAATATATTTCACCATTATTTACCAACTTCAGACAATATTTTAGTTTCAAAAATCATGTTAATCGCAACAATATATTAACTAGCAAGTATTCATTTTTTTTATTTTATCGTGTTGAATTTCATCGTGGTAATGAGATAAAATATTTATTGTCTTCCATATAACTATTTCTCTTTTATAATTATAGCTATTTAAAAAAATGCTATAATTATAAAAGAGCTAGATTCGTATTTATAGTTCCCGATTAGTTTGCAATCGACGTATACATTGTTATGTTTTTCGTGTAGAATCTCTGTCTGAATGTTCAGGCGCCCATGATTCTCGTTTCTCTAGAATGGCAACGGCCGTTTCTCTTTTTCAACTCCTATCAAATTCACATTAATTTTTTGTGCAGTTAATTATTATTGAAAGATTTGTTCTTGTAAAAATGTAATTCTTAGGAAAAGAATTACTTACGGATATTTCTAATTGCCCTATAAAGATATCGAAACTTTATAGGCAATTCATTCGATTTCATGTTCTTAACTATGATTGTTTCATTCTTCGAGTATATTGTTCTTAATATGGTGTTCGTTCTTCAGATATATTGAGTTTTGACACAGCAGGTGTTTAGAAGATTATAGATCGCTACGAAAGTATAAATGAAGTAATACGGGAACGAAAAACTGGATGGCAATTACATATTTACTATGACAAATTTGTAAAGTAAAATGTTTTTTTTAAAATATCGCCATAAAAACATGCATACGAAAACAATTCACTAACAAACACCACGTAGTGTTAACTATTACTTATTTAAATTATTTAAAGTGTTTATCAATACGTCTAATTTAAAATTTAAAAACATGACCATTGTATTTATTGAAGAAATAGTTTTATACCTTTGTAGTTGTTGTTATTAATTTTGAATATATATTTAAGGTAAGGGTCTGTGTCCTAATGATGAACTGGCAATTGAAAAGTTCCACCTATGGTTCATGCCTGGCGTAACTCATTGGCTAGCGATATCTATAATCAAAGCTCTTAATCGCATTGAAAAGGCAATTGAATTGGACGAACTGAAGGCTGTAGATGAAACTGTAAAGTATAGCTCATCCGCCGTTGACACATTGGCAATATTTTATCAGATCAAAATCTTTTGGCAACAACTGGATTGGCCCGATGCCGAAGGTTCCTACACGTTTGTGGCTAAAATAGTGGATGTATGTATATATTTATATGTATATAAAACATCTAATATTAATATTTTGCTTTATTAGGATATTTGCCGTTGTTGTGTCTTCTACGCCCAAAGGATGTCGCGTCGCGTTAGTGCTCTATCCAATGACAATGATGAACTGTTTCGAGTGTCTACGGAATGGTGTTTGGCCATTAACAACATAGACTATATTAGACAAAGTTTGCCGTCATTTATAAAGGTAATAAATCTGAATAAGAAAATGATTTGTTTGTATTGTTTTCGAATTTTGTTTCCAAATCTCGATCCACATTAGGAAATATTTGAACTATAACCAGTATCTATTACGTACGTGGTCACTCCTCTATTTAGATCTTAATATTTATAACTATCATTAGATTGATATGGAACCCCATGATTTTTTTACGTTCCATACAAAATAAAATATTTTTCGTGAAAATTAAAATGATCAAAAGGGTATCTGGATAAAAATGAAACTATGCAAATATGACCTTGAAAATATCGCATATTTAATCGCAGATATCGTTATTTTACAGACATTTAAAAAACGTTAGTCATTTTCATTTCCCATGAAAACATGCAACCTTTTTAACGAATATTATAACATCTGTAGTCCTATTCTTCAACTGTTAAACGACATAATTGCCAACGATGGTCGATAACTGCAAATTTGCATTGGCTTATAATTTCGTAGATTAACGATAATATTCGGTTAACGACCAAAATAGAGTAGTCACTAAGCCCTACCGAAAAATATGAAAAAGTTATGATAAATTTTAGTTTATGAAATATATTACCGATATTTGTCGGTAACATTGAAAAAAATTACAGAATTGCACTACTGGTATTCATGTTAACAAATTTCTATAATTAACACTTCCATTTGAAGTTTGATAGTTTGCCTACTTCTATTTCATGCACATGCGGTTTTAGCGACAAAGGTGCAGAAAAAAATAAAGTCATATAAATTATAGCATGTACTTTACTATAAACATTAAGATTTATGATAGGTACCAAGAAGTAATTAGAGGTATATTATAAAAGTATATATGTTCCCCTTTTCGATTTAGGGAAACCCACGTTTTTAATCTGGGAGATATATACGGATACAATCAGCATACAATCATTAGCATCATATATTTGCCCGTGTTTTTCATTTATTTCAATTCAATTTATTAATCAAAAAACTCCTCATTGGGTTACAAATTGATAGAAGGCGTATAATAAAGTATCTTATAAAATTATAAAATTACGAACTAAAAATTCCCTAACGCACATTTTTCTAATTCTTACATATATGCTTAACAAACCGTAATGTTAATTTGTGAGATATCAACTCGATGCTGTAAGCGAGCCAGATATATAATTCTTTTATTCCAAAGAACAAAAATATTGCAGCAATTTAATTTTAAAATTATGTGGTGAGATTGAGAAATTTTTCAATCCAGGGGAAGCTGGTTCCACAACCTACCACTGCGAACGGCAAAAGAACGTTCCAGGACCAGACTTTCAAAGCTTTAGAAAAACAGACATTAATAAAGCATGACCAAGTTTGTATTTAATGTGGAATGGTAAAAAATTGTTGACTTTGTACAATCTCTTGAGGCAAGAATTAACTTTTGAGCAAATATTCGTAATATGGGATGAAAATTTTAGATTACAATCAATATCAAAGCCAAGCCAAGTCACAGACTGCGAAGAATTAATTGATTTCCCCTGCACGCGTATACTTCGCTGAATGGATAAATCACGACCACTTTGGAAAATAATTAACTTTGTTTTGTCAACATTGATATTAATACAGTTAAGTGAAGCCCATCTGCAAATTCGAACAATATCACTTTCAAGTGCAGAAATGCAACCATTTATGTCAAGACATGGACTAGACGTAAACAACCCGAAATCGTCCGCATATATATTCAAAGAAGAATGCTGAACACATTCACAAACATCAATAACGTATAACATAAAAAGGAGTGGACCTAAAATTGAGCCCTGTGGAACACCTGACGAAAATCTGAAACGCAAAAAGAATTGCCGTCGTATACAATTTTTTGAGAGCGGTTGGAGAGGAATGAAGACACAAGATTGCAAGATGGTAGAGAAAAATTAAAAAGATTAAATAGCTTGGAGCGGTGATTGATAGAATCAAAAGCTTTAGAAAGGTCTAAAATGCCTAATATACTATAATATATATACATTTAAAAAATTAATTTTGTCGAGCGAACTAAAAAAAGTCAGTGTGAGAAGTTGTAACATTGACACCCAGTATGCATTGTCAGATTGACATGTTTTTATTTTTGAGTGGTCCAAACTGTTACAATTTTTCTAACAAACATTTGACTTGAACATTTAATTTGTTTGCCTCAGATACCTGTCATTGGCCCTGTAGTGCTTTGTATCAAGAATTATTAACCCTTTGTGGTCAGTATTTTTTTCCGTAAGCATATAACAATTTTCTGTTCAGAAATTTAATGCAACTAAATAAGATATGAACAAAATTTGACATCGCTACATTCTTACATTCGGGAGATACATTGCATTCTTTCTGAAAATAAAAGTCCAATATCAAGAAATGCAAAATCGACGAAAAAATCGTTTTAAAATTGTCTTTTTATTTATTTTATTTTATCAAAAATAATTCTGATGGCCGAATTCGTAAAATTCGAAGCGATTTAAATAATTTGGACAGTATATACAAATTAGTACGTCTTTGTAGTCTTTTCTATACTTAAAAGCTCACAACTTTGTTTTTTTTTTAGATTTTTCTTTTGATATATGTCGTCCATAATCAGGTCTTGACACACAAATTCTAAAGAATATATATATATATACTGGCTACATATGAAATATAAGCTTTAAAACATTTTGTTGCCTGTGCGCAACATTGGGCCATAATGGGTTAAGGTAGCACAAATATACGGTACAGTACGTTATCGTAGTGTACCCTATTTCATGATTTACGGGCGGGAACAATGGCATATTTACAAGATGATACAGAATGCGGATTCATTCCCTTGTCTTTGTTTTCTATCAAGCTTTTATATTTCATCATAAGATCAAAAAACACCATCTTGAATGTCAGAGATATTTATATATCTCTGACATTCAAATTAAGAGTGAAGGAAGAGAGTTTTCGGAGAATTCATAAAAAATAAGACTATTATAATTATGTAAATATGACTGTGAACTAGTGTGAAGAATGTAACAGCATTTGTTTTTAAATTCAATTAGAATATCTACTCCATATTATTTCTCATATTTTATTAACAGTTACGGTTAATCCATTTTTTAGGAACTAGGTACTGACGATGTAATCAAACGATTGGCTGAATATCGTACGAATCTCGAAGCTGAACGCTGTGAAGTTACTCTCAAAAATGTTATTGATAACGCGCTGGACACAGAGCGAAATCAGATTTTAGAATTAATCGAGATATTAGCTCTCAAAATGGCACCGCCAATTCGAAGATTTCTCGCGGAAGGAGCGGAAGTTCTGCACGAGGACTCAAATTCAATGGAACGCCTTATGTTGTATTTGGAGTCATCATTAAGCACACTCTATGAAACGTTGAATGAAGTAAACTTTGCTCGGACTTTAGATGCAATCTGGTCGCAATTGTCTCTTATTATGCACGATTTAATTAGAACGAATCTCGATGTACGTATTTAAAATATTATGAAACGATTAAATTTATAGAAAATATTTTTTCAGAAACGTCGACCACCAGCTTTCTTTCAAAATTTACGCAGCACATTGAGGGTAATGATTTCATGCTTTAAAACTGGAAATACTGTGCTATCTAATAATGAAGAATTAGCCGAAATTGAAAGAATTTTAGAACTACATGGATTTGAGACAGCAGATCTAATTCATCAGTATTATTTAGAAAGACTTGGACATCAAAAGGAAATGTCAAAGTCCAAATATGGTCAGTTAACAATAAAAGGGAAGATTACTGAAACAAGTTTAGTGGTAAGTAATTAAAAAAGAGGACACGACTAATGTATATGATTTTTTTTTTGAAAATAAGTGTTATATAAAATCAATATATTTGATTTAATTTTTAATTAATTTACCTTATATATCTACCTTGGCCCATTGCGTATGTCCTGAATTATATTAGGCGAGTTTACTTGCGGCAATTTTTATCGTTCTCTTTTGAACTTGCTTCATGCGTCTATACAAGGCAATTCGGTTGCAAACATATGTATATTTTCTGAATTGAATTATTTTTTCTGAAATGACACTACAAACAAAATACACAAAACGAATTGCCAGAAGATTGTCGGTACGAGCAATTTTTTCCCATTTCTATTCCCCTTGCCCCTCTCTCCTGCACATAAAGACTTGCGGCAAGTAAACTCGCCTAATCTTAATTGGGACTATCGATAGTAGTACAACAAAAAGAAAATTGCATTTAAAAGGTAGTCTTAATTTATCTACGTTAGTAGGTGAGAGAGTTGAGAAAACTGACAAGTAAGATTGACTATATACAGTGGCGAGCAAAAGTTTAGGAATGTGGGCAGTCCTTACAGAATCTTTAATGAATGAAATGACAATATAATGGGTCGATTATGGAAAGCAACCAAACTCCAGATGCGAGTTCAACTGGCAACGCAATTGAAAAAACATTATGAACAAGGTGTATTTAAAAAAGTGTATGCATCAGATACAATAACAAATATTTTACAAAAACAACATTGTTGTTATAGAAATTAAATTGTCATGCTGACAATAAGTTTTTGACAAAAATAAACAAAAACATTTATTAATTTATTTTTGTCAAGAACTATTCTATGAGGAATAATTAATGAATTTGTGTATTCTTGGGTTATTGGCGGTTTTAGGTCAGTGAAAATAAAAGTTTAAGACATTGTGGATTACAATTTATTTTTCCTATGGAGTGGCTTCAAATCTTGCCTTCTTAAATAAAATTGAAGGGCTTAAATCCCCGGCCAAAGACTAATGGGTCGATTACGGATGGCAATCATAGTTTAGTTGCGTTGCCAGTTGGCAAATTTGCATTATGGATGGGAACTGTTGTCAACTTCAGTTGCTGCAAATATAATTTTTCGGCAAACATTTATTTCTGGTTGCTGTTTATTGGGCCGATTACGGATGGCAACCAAAGTTTAGTTGCGTTGCCAGTTGCCAAATTTGCATTATGGATGGCAACTGTTGTCAACTTCAGTTGCTTCAAATATAATTTTTCGCAACCATTTATTTCTGGTTGCTGTTTATAATAACTGAACGTTGTAGGCTTCCCATAATGGTTAATATTACTACAAAAGAACAATTTGAGGTCCTTATTGCCCGGATGGAAGCTCACCCAAAGTAGCACGCGGCGTGCGGACTTTTGGTCAAACCAAAGCCACTATCGATGATGTGTGGAAGGCCATTTCAGAAGACTTTAACCGCTTTGGCCCACCAACACGCATTCCAAATGAATGGCAGAAAGTGGCGAACATCCTCTTTTGGGTCCATGATATGTACGTGTGTATCATCACTACATCCCCTGGAACTTTGTTTTCGAATAAAAAATTTTATTCTTCCCTTTTTCCTCCTCCGTTAATTTGGATACAATCAACATTTTACACAGTTTTCCTCTATTAGCCGGATAACTTCGGCGAAAACCACCGACATTGTCGGTTGAGCCATGCCAAGGTTGAAATCATTGCTATGGGACTTTTAAAAACTTCCCTCCACAAAAAACATCAGAGCTGCACACATTTTTGAGAGGTGGAATTGCTGTTGACCGCCTGGCTTTTCGGAAATCAGGGTTTAAGGCTTCATCTGTGTACAAAACGGCATATTTTGGTAGTCGAAAATACGCCTTCAAGCTTATTTTGATGGTAGTTCTAATAGATGTATCTCTTAAATGCCTTGAACATAATTTTCATCATCAAAAAAATAGTTCCACTGAGCATATCATCACATATAATTAGTTTTTCTGAAATATTTTATTCACTTTTTTGTTTGTTTACAATATTTCTAGTTGTAGAAATGTCAAAACAGTTTTATCGAAGCATTTCTAATAAGAATTTGCAGAGAGTCAAAATTTTTCCTTCTCAAGAGAGAAAACGTCACACAGCTGATTAAAACAACAAACAAATTGGCAAACTAAAAAACAGCATTTTTATTAGAAAAATGGATAACATTTAAAAAGGGTTGTGACCTGTAAGTTTTAACTATTTAATGATACAAAATCAAAATAAAATTCACAAAACAATCAATTTTCTTGAGAACAATTTTTTGTTTGTTTACAAAACATAACAAAACAGCTGATTAAATATCAGCTGATGGTACAAGAAAATTAAAACTGAGTAAATTTTCCTTGTAAGAATTTGCAAATACTCAGTAACACAACTGTCAAATCTGCTCTCTCAATTCACTCTCTTTTACTGGACTTTTGGGTAAACGAACAACATTTTGTAATCATTTGTACAAATTATTGAGTAAACGAACGAACCTAATCATAATAAGAATTTTCTTGTACCATCAGCTGATATTTAATCAGCTGTTTTGTTATGTTTTGTAAACAAACAAAAAATTGTTCTCAAGAAAATTGATTGTTTTGTGAATTTCATTTTGATTTTGTATCATTAAATAGTTAAAACTTACAGGTCACAACCTTTTTAAATGTTTGTGGGGAACAAACAACACCAATTTTCCGCTTGTTATCCATTTTTCTAATAAAAATGCTGTTTTTTAGTTTGCGCCAATTTGTTTGTTGTTTTAATCAGCTGTGTCCAAACAATCTTTTTACTGGATGTTGTTCGTTTACTTTTTGCAGTTTTCTCTCTTGAGAAGGAACAATTCGTATTTACTCTCTGCAAATTCTTACTGAGTAAATATTACTGGGAAAGTAAACGAACGAACCTAATGTTAAGTTTAATTTCAATTGCGTTGCCAGTTGAACTCGCAACTGGAGTTTGGTTGCTTTCCATAATCGACCCATAAATCATGGAAATTGTGTTGGCCATATAAAATCTTTCCATAGGCTTATTTAACCTCCGCCGAGAATTGTGACAAGCACCAAGGGACCGACTCCAATATAGGCTAACATAATCTCCTCGATTTTATGAGTAGCTAGGGTTTCTAGACAGATTTCAACACAACATAAATTATGTGGACCAATCGGCGAATGGGGTTATAACTGAATGTATGAATTATGTAGTTTTCTTAAATTTCCATTATTATCTTTAAATTTGTCCATTTTTGAAATCGAAATGTAATATTGAAAATATTTTTGACAATTTGTTTTACAAACAATAAAGTTTGAAACCATATGATTGTCACTTACACCTTATTAAATACACCTTGATTATGAATATCAACTTTTCTCAGTTGCTGTCGATAATACTGTTCTGACATTTCTACAACTAGAGATATTGTAAACAAACAACAAAATGAATAAAATATTTCAGAAAAACTAATTATATGTGATGATAAGCTCAGTGGAACTATTTTTTGATGATGAAAATCATCAAGGTGTGTCATTTATTAGAAGGCATTTAAGAGATAAATCTATTAGAACTACCATCAGTTCTGTGAGTAGATGCTGACGTTTAGAGAAATGTTCAATCAACTGCTCATATTAGCTTGAAGGCGTATTTTCGACTTCAAAAGATGCCGTTGTGTACATAGATGAAGCCTTAAACCCTGATTTCCGAAAAGCCAGGCGGTCAACAGCAATTCCTCCTCTCTTAAAAATGTGTGCAGCTCTGATGTTTTTGTGGAGGGAAGTTTTCAAAAGTCCCATAGCAATGACTTCAACCTTGGCATGGCTCAACCGACAATGTCGGTGGTTTTCGCCGAATTTATCCGGCTAATAGAGGAAAAACTGAGGAGGAAAAGGGAAGAATACATTTTTTTATTCGAAAACAAAGTTCCAGGGTGTTGTCGGATGTATTGATGATACACACGTACATATCATGGACCCAAAAGAAGATGTTCGCCACTTTCTGCCATTAATTTGGAATGCGTGTTGGTGGGCCATAGCAGTTAAGGTCTTCTGAAATGGCCTTTCACACATCATCGATAGTGGCTTTGGTTTGACCAAAAGTCTGGACGCCGCGAGCTACATTTGGGTGAGCTTCCATCCGGGCAATAAGGACCTCAAATTGTTCTTTTGTAGTAATATTAGCCATTATGGGAAGCCTAAAAAGTTCAGTTATTGTAAACAGCAACCAGAAATAAATGGTTGCCGAAAAATTCTATTTGAAGCAACTGATGTTGACAACAGTTACCATCCATAATGCAAATTTAACAACTGGCAACGCCACTAAACTATGGTTGCCATCCGTAATCGACCCATAAATGTTTCAGATTTGGTATTATTATACTAATTTCGTACAATTTTGCACTTATAAGAAAAAAATCGCTTATTTTTTAATATTTCGTTTACAATCTTTTCTCTTTTTAAACTTTGAATTTGTGAAAATCACCATGGATTTTGTTTTATTCCTCTTTTGCTCTTTGCCTTGGACTAACTTTGTCCATATTCGATCAACTCGATTAAGATACGGGTTTTAAGCTGGCCATTTGAGCAATTTAAATTTTTGGTTAGCCAACCAATTTCTAACAATTTTCGAGGTGTGCATAGGATCTACATCTTGTTGAAATTATAAATCCTTCTTTTCTCCACATTTTCTAATAATTTGGTTTAAAGAATATTGAGATAATTATCCTTCTTCTTCTTGATTTCGCTGAAGATGTTCATGTGAGAGGCGCGTAATATTTATTCACATCTGATTGGAAACGGCTAATTTTAGTTTCAACCAAATTATATTTTTCCAAACCTCCAATGTCCAATTTCGTATTTTTTTCAAAATTTCAGACGTGCTTAACGTCTTCGTCTTTTACGAATAATTTGGACAATATTATGGACTATTTTTTAAATATTTATCTATTTATCTGCATGACTGTCCAATATTATTAAGATCTACTATTCGATCTTCAATTTCAACACATATTTTTCTCGTTTTGTACCTACAAATGAATCAATAAAAATGCCAATAATATTTTAGAAATCCCACTTTAACTTTTTAAAGAACACACAAAATCGACATTTAACCAAAAGTAAATAAAAAATAACGGTAAATTATAAGTTGACAATTGCAAAGTAACATAAACCAACACGACAAAAGGGTACGAATTTCCATTTGTTGCGGTTGTCCACGATAACCAGAGTTGTAATTGTTTTTTTTTTTTATTTTGCACAAACAAATAGTGAAATATTTTAGCTAGAGCAATTTTTTATTCGCGTTTTAGTAAAAAATTTACCAACATTTACCACACTTTAACTTTTTAAAGAACACACAAAATCGACATTTAACCAAAAGTAAATAAAAAATAACGGTAAATTATAAGTTGACAATTGCAAAGTAACATAAACCAACACGACAAAAGGGTACGAATTTCCATTTGTTGCGGTTGTCCACGATAACCAGAGTTGTAATTGTTTTTTTTTTTTATTTTGCACAAACAAATAGTGAAATATTTTAGCTAGAGCAATTTTTTATTCGCGTTTTAGTAAAAAATTTACCAACATTCGTACCTTTTGCACGCCATTGTAAATTAGAAAATGTAATATGCATTTGTCTATTTCACTGTCTTTTCTGTTACAAAATAATTAAGAAAATTTGGATTTACGAAATCCACTCATGTACTCTTGTAAATCCTTGTTCGCTATGCAATTGACAGTTGAAATCGAGCTGATTTTGTAAATCTAAACGTACAATCACAGTTTCCAATATTAAGGGGACCCCCCCCCCCCCCCCCCCCCCCCAATTCTCGGGGCCAAAATTTTTGTTGATATAATTCGAATCTACACTGATTAAAGAATGTCTCTACAAAATTTCAAGTGAAAATCTCAAGAAATCTTGAAGATATATCCGATTTATTGTGTCAGCTTCAAGTGACGGCTGAAGGGCTTCTCAAACTTTAAACGCGTTTTTCTCTAAACATTTTTTTGCGAATGGCGGGCACGATAACTCAACAGCTAATAATCCAATCGGTTCCAAATTTTGCAACGTTTCTCTGGGAGTGTATAGCTCTCGTATGAACTAGGATAAAGCCAATCGGTGAAGATCTTCCTTATTTTTTAACTTGGTTTTTGGTCAAAAATCGGCGATTTTCCAAAAATATTTTTTCAAAGGTCCACCATTTTGTTAATTTTAGAGCGAAGTCAATAATCCATGTACATGTACTCTTTCTAACACCGTTGGAATTTTCGGATTCCGATGTTCCAGTGAGTAGTTATCATACCCGCCATCAAAAATAAGGACTTTGATTACAAAAAACAACAACAAAACAATAACAAATTTTTTTTTTAATTATTTTTCTTCTCTTTTAAATCTTCAAATATATATGTGCAAAGTTACAAACCTTAACAAGCATTGGTATTGACTTACCAGCCCATTGAAAATCGTGAAAAATTAAAATCGAGAATGGGTGGGGTTCCCTTAAACGTAATTAAACGTACTGGCAGCGTTTGCCTATAAAAGCACGCTTTCAAATCAATATTTTTTATTTGTTTATTTTTTTTTGTCGTTTAATAATCTTTATTTTAATAATTTGTTAAAACTGTTCAGCTTTTGTTTTTGCCATTTTTTGTAACACAACGATCTTAAATTTTAATGTAAACGAACCGCATACATAAAATGTTGCCATTCCAGTACTTTAGACATGGTATAATAATAGAAGGTAACAGCAAGTGTTGTTGTACAAAAAACGATACAACAACCACATGGAAATTTGTTGTTGTAAGTTCTACTAGTGTCAACTCATTTGACAGAAAAATGTAAACAAACAAACAAATTATCATCAAATTATTTTTATTTTGAAAATGAAATATTTTCGAATCCTCAAAATAAAAATTGAAAAACATGAATGAAAATCTTTCAACGTTATATTTCTATCGCTTCCACATCTTTCCTATAATTGAGCCATTGCCACATATATGTGTAACACATATGAAAATGCCGGGAATAGCGAGTTATTCCTTGAGTTATAAAGATTTGCTTCCTGAAACTTTCCCAGCAGGCAGATTGAGTAAATTGAATACGGGAGCATATTTAATAAAGAACAATTTCAAATTGTATGCGTTCCCAATTTTCCTGTTGGGTGATTTTTAAAAACATAATTTGGCAAATTCATATTGACACTAGTATTACGTTGGAATCAAATCAGCTGGGATTTGCTGTTACCTTTTATAATTGTACCATGTACTTTAGAAAATTTTGGTACAAAAACAGTGTTGTATTTGAAATTAACACAATTCCGCACACGATTTGGAGCAAACTGGAGATAATTAGTCGATTCAATTTTGTATGGTAAATTGATTTAGCAATTAAATTGAGATAATGTAAATTGTCACGATAAAAGATATGGCCTTAACATTTCTGAAGAAAAAATTTTCCAATATTTTGTATGTATATTTCATAGTCGATATAATGCCACTTATACTCAAATAGTTCACCACATTTCTTTACAATTCTGTAGTAGAACCTTATTTATATGGCATTTGAAAAATCAATAAAATCGTTTTTTTTTTTCAAATGTGATATGATTGAAAAATGCAGTGCAAAATCTTCAGTTAGCTTTGTTAAATGTAAAGCTAAATGCAATTGAAGTCATAACACCTTTAACAATGTTTTTATTAATACATACACATTTATATCGAATAAAATAGTTAATATACTTTTTCATTGCAGTTGCATATCATGAATGCTAGAAACATAGTTCCAATGGACAGTAACGGATCTTGTGATTCCTTTGTTAAGGCTCATTTCTTGCCTGTAAATAGATTTCTGGGAGTACAGCCCGTTAAGACGGCTGTGCACAATAAAACCTGTTTCCCTCTCTATGATGAGACATTCACGATGTAAGTAAATTTTATGATTTTTTTTTTTTAATATTTATTAAATGAATTATCACCAACAGTGAACTTAATGAGGAACAGCGAAAGCAAAACAGTCTCATACAGTTCAGTATCAAGGATAAGGATCTATTTGGTATGACAAATCAATACATTGCTGAGTGTTACATATCATTTGCTGATATAATGGCGCACGAAGATGAGCAAATTCATATGGAATTATCGCGGCCGGAATATATAAGTAAGTAAAATATTAATGTGAAATTGAATCATGGACATTGTTTGATATATTTATTATTTTTGTTTAGAATATCAAAATATTATATTTTATTGTAGAAAAAGCTCAATATAATTTATTTCGAGGGTATAAAGCAGTTGCATTTAACATATTGGAGCAGTTGTATTTAACATATTTGAACACAAAAAATACATTGTATATACGTAATATTTTTTCATAGATTTTAGATGAATGCAACACAAAATAAGTCTTGATTTAGATTAGGCGAGTTTACTTGCGGCAAGTCTTTGTAGGAGAGAGGGGCAAGGGGAATAGAAATGGAAAAAAATTGCTCGTACCGACAATTTTCTGGCAATCCGTTTTGTTTGTTTCGTATTTGTTGACATTTTATATTTATTTAAATGTGAAAAAACTATTGACATCAAATGAAAAAAGAAATATTTTCGAAACCGAATTGCCTTGTATAGACGCATGGAGCAAGTTCAAAAGAGAACGACAAAAATTGCCGCAAGTAAACTCGTCTAATCTAAATCAAGACTAACAATTTTTATACCCTTCACCACACTGTGGTACAGGATATTATGTCTTTGTGCATATGTTTGTAACAGGCAAAAGGAAACGAGATGGATACATGGTTCCTTTTGAGAATATGCATAGAATCACTTTTTAAGTCGATTTATGCATGTCCGTCTGTCCGACCCATATCCGCAGTACTATGCAGGGGTCTTACATTACGTTTACAAGATGTCAAATTTAACAATCACTTGCCCAATGTGAAGTCCCCATGTGTCATAAAAAAATCTATTTATTTACAATACAATTTTTCTATTATATTGGGTGAAAATAAATCCATTATTTTTATAGGAGGCCTGTTGTGCGCTCTAGGAAGGAAAGGTATTTAGATTGAGATTATTCTTAATTTTTAGTCTCCCTATTCTTCTAGGAATTCTGTGTTTTTGCTGAAGTCCTTTATTGTTTTCCATTCACATCCCCTTAGGTCATTTAGTTCAGGAATCGTATCGTTTTTCAAGATTTGGGTTCGGATGCATGCAAAAGCCGGGCAGTGGCATAGGAAATGTTCCAACGTTTCGTTGTGTTCCCCACACGCTCTGCACCTGCTGCTTCCCGAACACCCAATCTTGTGTAAATGTGACTGCAGGTTAATATGTCCTGTGAGAACGCCTATCAGTCTGCTTGTTTAGCGTAAGTATTTGCTTAGTCTTATCCTCATATTTGTCTCCCCATAAGATTTTTGTGTTTTTCCAATCCTCTCGTTTTTCCAGAGTGTTTTGTGCGCCTCTTTCGCCCATGACCTCATTTCTAGACGTGAAGTGCTAAAAGGTTTTGCACTGTTCACAACTATGTTGATTAGGTCCATAGCACGTCTGGCGAGTTGGTTTCCTATGACTCCTGAGTGTCCCGGTACCCATATTATACGTACAAGACCAAGTCGTGAGAATTTGTTTATTGTTTTTATGCATTCCAATACAGTTTTTGATGTAACTTTTTTGGATGTTATTGCATTAATAGCATGTTTGCTATCTGTCATGATATTTATGTTATTATGCCCAGAGTTAGAGCTTAACCATCTTAGACACTCCGTTATAGCTTGAACCTCCGCCTGTAGGATCGTATTGTGATCTGGCAGGCGAAGTGAGATTTCAGTCCCCGGTCAATAAAAAGTCTCAGTCCCGTCTTTCCCGCTAGCCGGGAGCCATCCTGTAACAATAGTTCCCCGGAGGCATGTGTGCTAGTGTTCCGCTGTTCCATGAGTCTCTGTCCGGTATCAGGATTTCACACATTACTCTTGTTCAGGTGATTACTCTTGTTTCAGGTATTCGATCTGACTCAAAGTGGATAATTGAGTATCCGATCGTGCGGTGTGTTGTGTTCGTTGTCGATCCACTCGTTCATGGCTTTAAGTCTTAAAGCTGCGATGACCGCTTCGTATTTTATTTGGATGTCAACTGGGTGTATATACAATATAGTTTCCAATGCCCTGGTTGGTGTTGTCTCATTGCCCCGCATATGCCTAGACAACAAGTTCTTTGGACCTTCTGTAGTGATATTACATTACATTTTTTTCCATTGCTGTCCACCAGACTACAGACGCGTAAGTTAGAATTGACCTAATAACGCTCTTGTAGATCCAGTGTACCATCTTTGGGTTGAAACTCCATTTAGAGTCCACGGATCTTCTACACAAAGACCAGCATCTATGGGCCTTTTCGACCCGTTGATGTATGTGGTCTTTCCATCTAAGTTTTCTATCTAGAATGACACCCAGATATTTGACTTTATTTGATATAGCTATCACATTGTTTTGAAATATTGGTTCTTCATACTCTCCTATTTTTGTCTTTCTAGTGAAGAGCCATATTTCCGTTTTGTCCGGATTTACGTTTAGACCCCTCGGCTTCGCCCACTTAAAAGCGATGTTTAACGCCTTTTCAGTTTTCCTGCATAGTAAGTTAGGGTTCTTTCCCCTTAGAAGTATTATAACATCGTCTGCATAACAGACTGGTTCAAAACCATCCTCGGTTAAGTTCCTTAAGAGACTACTGATAGTGGTGATCCACAGGAGTGGTGACAGTATCCCTCCCTGCGGTGTCCCTTGTCCTACTTTGTCCCTGATAGTTATGTCTTGTAGGCTATAGTTTATCCATCTATTCCTTAGCATATGGTTGACCCAGTCTATAATTGCCTGGTCAACACTAAAGGCTTCTAAGGATTGGATAAGTGTTTCGGTGCTGACATTATTAAAGGCTCCTTCGATGTCAATGCAGACTGCTAAAGTGTACATTTTCTTATCGAAAGTTCCTTCATTGTGGTGTACTACCTCATGTAAAGCCGTTTCCACTGATCTCCCTTTTACGTACGCATGTTGTTTATATTTCAGCGTGTCATTGGGGATGCTGCTCATGGTGTCGATTGTCCGTTCTATGGTTTTGAGTAAAAATGAAGTAAGGCTAATTGGCCGGTAGGCTTTTGGTGTTGCGTAGTTTGCATTGCCGGGCTTGGGTATGAAGACTATCCTGGCTTCCTGCCAGGCCTTGGGTGTGTACCCAAACCTTATACATGTGATATATAGTCGACCTCTTTTTGTAAAAGAGCAGGGAAGACGTTGTCTGGCCCTGCCGCTTTATACGATGAGAAGCTCTTTATAGCATCTCGTACCATTGATTCATCGATCTTAGGTTCCACAGATCTTGCTTCCCCTGTTACCGTAACGGCATCGCTTATGGATGGCTTCGGTGGGTGGGTGGCGTTCATCAGAAGCCTTTTTGTGACTTCAGTTGTTTCCATCCTGTTGCCATCACTGTCTACCATCGTTTCGGCTTGAGTGTGGGTTTTTGACAGAAACTTGTTTTATTTTTGAGACGTCGTTTACGCTATCGACCTGTTCACAGAAGGTTTTCCAGGAGTTGCGTTTGGCGGTTCTTGTCATTTTGTTGTATTCTTTCTGCTTATCGTGGAAGTTGTCCCAGTATACTGTAGATTTCTTGCGGCGTGCTCTATTATAAAGTTTTCGGACCTCTTTCCCTTTATTTCGAATCTCACCGATCATCCAGGGTTTTTCGAAGGCAGATTTCCTTTCTCGAAGAGGACAACTTTCTTCGAAGGACTTTACTATTGCTTCCGCTAAGTTATTGACATTTTTGTCTATATCGTCAGTGCTTAGGCTGTCATAGTTATGTTGCCCTAGCCTCTCTTTGAGTAATTTACCGGATTTTATCCAATTTGTTTTGGACTTGTTTCGAAAGTATATGGTTTCGGCGGTGGCCGTAGGATTTTAAACCTAATATATCTGTGGTCCGAGAAGGAATATTCTTGTGAGACTCTCCATTCTTGTACCTCGTCTAATTCTATTAACGAAGGTAGGTTTGTTGCCTATGTTAAGAGTAATTAGGTTGTTAGTATTAAGATAGTCTAAGAGGGGTTCACCCCTTTTGTTAGTATTTGTACTACGCCACGCAATGTGGTGTGAGTTAGCATCGCTACCAATCAGTACTTCGTTACCTGTTTCTTTTGCTCTCCTCACCAGTCGTTGCAGCTCCGCCGTTGGTGGTAGTATCGGCGAGTCAAACGGGAGGTAAACTTATGCCAGGTAAATGTTCCCATTCCCATGCTTCAGTATGGTTGCGTCCAGTGTTGACAACTCTGTTGACAGCATACGTTTTTGTGACATATTATGCAGGATCTCGGTCGGGAACCTGTATTTGCATAGAATAATTGGCAATGTATGTGGTTTAATCCAGAGACCTTGTTCTTAACAGTCCATGGTTCCTGGATTAGACCGATGTGTACATTACCTTTAATTAGTTTTTCCATCAGAGCCATTGTTGCCGTCTCACTCCGATGGAGGTTTATTTGGATGACTTCGATCATTCTTCATCCAAAAGGCGATCTTCTGGGAGTCTGTTATCTTCTCGATCTTGAAGTAGACAGCGTTTGACACGTAGTGGGCCTTGCCTTTAGTCTTGGCCAGACTTGCCATTGAAGACCTGTCCAAGCCTACCACAAGGAGAGTCCCGTCTTTGTTGTCCTCTCTGTGGAAGACTTCCCATTTTTTCACCAGCAGTGTCTTGTTTTGCAGACCAAAGACTTGAAGCATGTCCTCTGTCGTGAAGTCGCTGCCCCAGCCTCTGACGAAGACCGTAGCTTTTTGTAGGTGGCGGATGTCTCTCTTCCTCACAAGCTTTAATTTGATTGCCTCGTCCTCGTGGGGGCAATACTCGCCGCTAAATTCTTAGTGACCTCAATGCTCTTTGAGGACTCGAACTCCACATTAGGAAGCTCCCTTTGAATTCGCAGCTATTCAAATCTATGGGCTCTCCTCCTTGCCGCAGGTGCTTCATGATCTTTTTGTAGAACGCATTCATCACCTCATCATGTGTCTCCTTTTTGAGTTTACCGGATACACTACGTTCATCGATTACAGTATAGCAGAGCTCGTCCCTGTAGCGCCTTCTGGCAACCTTTGCATAATACGGCGGCTCCTTACCGATTG